GTGGCATCTACATCTGCAGAAGATGAAGAACTGGTGGCATCTACATCTGCAGAACGTGAAAAACCAGTGGCATCTACATCTTAACAACGTGAAGAACCAGTGGCATCTACATCTGCAGATCACGAAGAACCAGTGGCATCTACATCTGTAGAACCTGAAGAACCGGTGGCATCTACATCTGCAGAACGTGAAGAACCAGTGGCATCGACATCTGCAGAACGTGAAGAACCAGTGGCATCTACATCTGCAGAACATGAAGAACTAGTGGTGTCTACATCTGCAGAACATGAAGAACCAGTGGCATCTACATCTGCAGGAGATTATACAACTTCTAAAGCCATTCCCCGTGTTTAGTGTACACGCCATTGAACACGTTTGGAATCGACAGGAGTAAAGTTGGACTTACGAATTAATCGACTTATGAACAGACCTTTGGAACTTAACTTGTTTGTGAGTAGAGGAGTCCCTGTACAGTGATGGAAGCGAATAAAAAGATTTAAAAAGACCAAGCGAAAGCAACTGTGTTGTATGAGAAAATGAACGTATAGAACAAAAACGTAAATCGACGCTAATGTAGTCATTTCCCTCCAGCGTAAGTCGTCTGGCGCGGACTAATATTGAAACCGATCGTAGCATGGAATGCAATACGTTACAGAAACATTAAACAGATGTAGGGCAACTATGTAGCACTCGTGTAAAAGTTACAAAGGATGGATTCTAGATTTGAAGCTTTCGTGACTGCAAGGATTCATACTCTTAGGTTTTTTCGGCAAAGTCACGTAGGTAAAAAATAAAATTAAAAGTTAATAAAAGTAATAATGGAAGTAAAATAAAATAATAAATCACGACGTTTCGGAGGCAACACAAGTCTCCGTCATCAGGTGGGACCGTCACAGTTAAAATTATTGCATCAAGTGAGGAAAATTCCAAAAGACCAGCACTTAAATACAAGTTAGGGGGGAGGGGCTTCTCTGAATGTTGTGACCAGAGAATGGAACGTGGGGGTGGTGGGTGGGGCTACAAGAGCAATTGGTCAACGTCGTCAATGTGTGCAAGAAAACAATCGGTGTACCTCGACCTAATCCGATGTTGGTTGAGAATCCAAATAAAAAAAAGCAGTTCTGTTAAACGCTGGGGATGTCAACACTCGGTAAAGTAGAAAAGTACCTGTCAAATAAGATAGTACAAATGTGTAGTTAAATCTTTTTTTACATGGTTAATAGCATCTTTCCAATGATGGATGTGAAAAGTCATTGCGAGTGAAAGTTGTGAAATATTGTGCAGCTCGGCATCAAATTGTCATTTAGATGGGAGGGTGACCCATGGACACATGTCTGTCTGTGTTTGTGTTTGTGGTGATGGAATTCCTGGGGTGTAAAGTCGAGCATGTGTGTGTGTGTGTGTCAGGGGAGCGGTTGTGGAGTCGATCTCGCGCTGCGCCACGAACCCGGGGACCCGAGTTCGATTCCCGTTCGTGGCCGATAATAACAGCGGCGAATACGTGAAGCGGTCGCAGGCCCACCATTAGGTTGACTCGGCCTCAAATGAGTATCTGGTGGGGGGGTGTAAACATCGCTGCCCGGGGGAGACACAGGTGTTAATTCTAGATTTGAAGCTTTCGTGACTGCAAGGATTCATATTCTTAGGTTTTTTCGGTAAAGTCACGTAGGTAAAAAATTAAAATTAATAAAAGTAAAATAAAAATAAAATAAAAATCACGACGTTTCGGAGGCAACACAAGCTTCCGTCTTCAGGTGGAACCGTCACAGCACGATAGCTGTATAAAATATTTTTATTTAACTTTTATTAATTTAAATTTTTTACCTACGTGACTTTACCGAAAAAAACCTAAGAATATGAGACTAAGGTGGGCGAGCGTGGTGCTGGCCACCCCAACCCCTCGTGTGCCGTGCCGGCCTTCGTAGATGCTTTAACAACACGGACGCTTTTGCGACCAATATCATCCATAATGCAGGTTTTTTGGGTTCGATCGCGTAAAAATATAAATGTGTCGTTAAAACCCACCACCATCCGACACAGCCTACTCGTAAGGTTTTTTCGCGTAATCAGATTTGTGGAGAAATCTTCCTGTTTCGTTCCAAGGATTTTTCCTCAAATCTGGCTGTCGCCTGATGAAGCATGTTGTAATTACTGGCGAAACGTCGTGCTCCGATTGTAAATGTTGTGGCTTGGCTCTCAAACACACCGGTGTGCTGTACTAGTACACTACACTATACACTACACTATACACTACATTACACACTACACTATACACTACTATACACTACACTATACACTACATTACTATACACTACACTATTAAACACTACACTACTATACACTACATTACTATACACTACACTACTATACACTACACTACTATACACTACACTACTATACACTACACTACTATACACTACACTATACACTACACTATACACTACACAACTATACACTACACAACTATACACTACACTACTGTATACTACACTATACACTACACTACTATACACTACACTACTATACACTACACTATACACTACACTATACACTACACTACTATACACTACACTATACACTACACTATACACTACACTACTATACACTACACTATACACTACACTATACACTACACTATACACTACTATACACTACACTATACACTACACTATACACTACACAACTATACACTACACAACTATACACTACACTACTGTATACTACACTATACACTACACTATACACTACACTACTATACACTACACTATACACTACACTATACACTACACTACTATACACTACACTATACACTACACTATACACTACACTATACACTACACTATACACTACTATACACTACACTATACACTACACTATACACTACACTATACACTACACTACTATACACTACACTATACACTACACTACTATACACTACACTATACTACTATATACTACACTACTATACACTATACACTACACTATACACTACACTATACACTACACTATACACTACACTATACACTACTATACACTACACTCTACACTACACTATACACTACACTATACACTAGTGTTGTACTAGTAACAAATTGACACGTTCTGTTTACGAATTGGCTGTGTCAGGTGATGGTGGGTTTTCATGGCACATTTTCATATTTTTGCCATCCAACCCAAAAAACGGAATTACGGTTCATCGGTGCTGCTCGCAACAGCACTTGACCCCAACAGTCTGTCAAGGATGCTATATGGTGGGGTGGCAGGGGGGGATGGTCTTTGTGTTTTGTTCCAATGTGGGGAGTTGGGTAGTGTGACGAGATAGGAATGACAGGGAATGTCACGATTTGTCCGCGTGCGGTTTAGCCGATTTGTGGATTAACCGCACACCTGTGATTTTGACATTTAATGGAACAAACTCATGGATCACCATTGGAGAACCTCCTTTGCCAGTAGCAAAATATGATAATTGGTTTTTTACCCTTTTATCTGGCAACAAAACTGACACATTTTTTACTACAAGGAGTCATGTTTGCATAGACCACAATACCTGCGGTCGGAATGCAAACAAAAAACACAACTCTGATAATGTGCGCCTTTTGGCGTCATCTCGTCCAACACCATGTGAGACTAGGCTCTAAGAAAAGCTGTCTCGGGTGTGGACCAATCAGTTTCAAGGAAAGTGCATGCATTATCAGAGTTGTGTTTTTTGTTTGCATTCCATGACTCCTTGTAAAAAAAGGTGTCAGTTTTGTTGCCAGATAAAAGAGTAAAAAAACAATTATCAAACTCATGGATTTTCCCTTAAGCCCAAATGAATCGTCTAAAAACAGTTGTACAGCATCGTTGGTCTTGGAGATGTTTATCACAAAGTCACCTGCTTAAACCGAAAACACTTGTTGCTGCGGTTAAATCCACGCGATCGCCTCTACAGTACAGCGGTTGCCATATCTTTACAACGGTGGGGGGGGGGGGGGGGCGGAGTTTGATTGATGTTGATTGGCCGTGGCTCTGCTGCTGTCTTGCGATTCGTGTGCCGAGTTTCCCGCTGGGCGGGAGCCAGGAAAGTGTTATCATCACCGAGCGCGCGACAGATCGATCGTTCGATCGTTAGTGTCCGTTCTCAATCACAAGAACAGCAATCGCAATCGTCAGTTGTGCTTCACGTAGGAGCGATTTGTACGCTCGTTCCGTGGAAGATATGGGGGGAGGGCAGGGGGGGGGGGTTGGCTTCTTAAGGAAGCTGATTGAAAACTGTTTTGCGAGAATCGACGACTTTCTAATCCGGACGGTGGGAAGTTTCAGCAGTTTTAGCTGCTGGGGTGGTTTGTGGATGACTTTCAATGCTAATAATGGTAACGATGATGATAATAATCGATTGTGGACTCATAAAGTCGAGGAATCCTCTCTTAAATCCCGCCTTTTTCGCTGTTGTCCATTCTCTCGCTCTTCCCACACCCCTCCACTCCTTTCCGTCCCTCCCCGGTGTCGCCCTTTCGTGATCCCCCGAAGCAACCCTCCCTATTGCTGTCACTCATTCCTCCATACCTTGGCACGCCCCTCCCCCTGCCATCTAAATCATTCTGGTATTTACACTGAGACCTCCTGATTGGTCCACACCCGAGACAGCTTTCCTTAGATCCTAGTCTCCATTGGTGTTGGACCAGATGACACCAAAAGGCGTACAACTCAAAAACCAATCAACTTCCAGGACAGTGCATATTATTTTCATTATCAGAGTTGTTTCTTTTTGTTTGCATTTTGACTGCTTGTGTTGTGGTTATTGCAAACATGATGCCTTGTATAAAGGTGTCAGTTTTGTACCAGTTTAAAGGGTAAAAACCTACTACCATCCCGGTATGCTGTCTCCCCACAGCTGTTACAATCGCGGTAGATCCGATGACGTGGTGGCGATGGGAACGCGAACTTTACGGGTGACGCACGTGACGGACCGTCCCGTGATGCGCGCAACGGCGCCGTGTGTTTCCGTTTACCTCCCGCAGGGCAAGAGCTCCTTCCAGAGGCAGAGCTCGCACGGCCAAGCCAATGGCCAAGTCGGTGAGCGTTTCATCACCCGCACTCCGCGCGCATGACGCTACGTTTGAACACGGGGGGAGGGTTCCACACACGCAACAGCAACAACGACGACGATAATGGTTGTCGTGTTAACTTGTAACGCCGCACGGCAACTCGCTCGCTCACTCGCTCTCGGAGAGAGAGGACGACTCGCCAGGAGGAGGAACCACAAACGATCGTGAAATGTGGCAGGCAGGAAGTGAACTGGCGCAACCGATGATGGCCGTAGCTCTGCAGCAAGCGCGCTACCGCTGTGCCGCGTCGTCGCGGTATTTACCAGGCCGGCCTGCCGGATTCGGACCCGCGAACCTCTGCCAACGAGCGGCGAGCGCGCTACCGCTGGCCCACGCTACCGCTAGGCCTGGTTACCCGCTAGGCCCCGCTATCCGCTAAGCCGCGTATCTCGCTAGGCCTTGCATCCCGCTAGGCCTGGCTACCTGCTAGGCCTCGCTAGGCCTGGCCACCCGCTAGGCCTCGCTACCCGCTAGGCCACCCGCTAGGTCTCGCTAGGCCTCACTAGGCCTGGCTAGGCCTGGCCACCAGCTAGGCCTCGCTACCCGCTAGGCCTCGCTAGGCCTTGCTACCCGCTAGGCCACCCGCTAGGTCTCGCTAGGCCTCACTAGGCCTGGCTAGGCCTGGCCACCAGCTAGGCCTCGCTACCCGCTAGGCCTCGCTAGGCCTTGCTACCCGCTAGGCCACCCGCTAGGTCTCGCTAGGCCTCACTAGGCCTGGCTAGGCCTGGCCACCAGCTAGGCCTCGCTACCCGCTAGGCCTCGCTAGGCCTCGCTACACGCTAGGCCTCGCTAGGCCTGGCTACACGCTAGGCCTCGCTACCCGCTAGGCTTCGCTACTCGCTAGGCCTCGCTACTCGCTAGGCCTGGCTACTCGCTAGGCCGATGAGACTTCGCGCGTTCACGATCTGCTCCCTCGTCGGCCGTTCCCTTCGTCTTCGCGTCTGCCGCCGCCGCAGGTCAGCCGAGCCCTCCCGGAGGATCGCGCGTCAACGCCGTCAACGCCGCCAACGCCGCCGCAAACGCCGCCGCCAACACCGCCGCCGGGGCCCTCCCCACGGCCTCCCCGCTCGCTCAGGGGCCCCAGCCGCCCTCCCAGCAGTTGGGGGGTACTCCCGAGGGCCCCCCGAGCCCCCTGCAGCGTCTGGAGGCGCAGGGAGGGGCGGGCAGCTTGCTGTGCATGCCCCAGCACTCTGGGTACCCGCCGGGCTTCCTGCTGCCCATGCCCGTGTCGGTACGTGCGGGCGGGCGGGCGGGTGGGTGTGGGGGTGTGGGGGTGGTGGGGGTGGTGGGGGTGGGGGGTGGGGTGACGAACCACACTGGGGGTTCGGCTTGCCGATAGACCTGGCCATCCCAACTGATAGCTCAACGAAGTTGGTTATCGTCGCGTGCAATTTGAAGCACATACTCAAAAATGTGTGGTGACGTCGATTTTGAATGTGGAGGGAAAAACGGAAGGACCCGGAAAAAATTCACGCGACCATGGGGAGAGAGACACGCAGACTCCAAATATACAGCAGCAGGCGTCAGGGTCGGGATCGAACCCACGACCTCCTGTAGACCAGGCGAGGTAGTTAATATCTCCTAGCCACCATGATGATGATGAGAGAGAGAGAGAGACACGCAAACTCTAAATATACAGCAGCAGGCGTCAGGGTCGGGTTCGAACCCACGACCTCCTGTATACCAGGCAAGGTAGTTAATATCTCCTAGCCACCATGATGATGATGATGAGAGAGAGACACGCAAACTCTAAATATACAGCAGCAGGCGTCAGGGTCGGGATCGAACCCACGACCTCCTGTATACCAGGCGAGGTAATTAATATCTCCTAGCCACCATGATGATGATGAGAGAGAGACACACAAACTCTAAATGTACAGCAGCAGGCGTCAAGGTCGTGATCGAACCCACGACCTCCTGTACACCAGGCGTGGTAGTTAACATCTCATAGCCACCGTGATGATGATGAGAGAGAGAGAGAGACACGCAAACTCCAAATATACAGCAGGCGTCAGGGTCGGGTTCGAACCCACGACCTCCTGTACACCAGGCGAGGTAGTTAATATCTCCTAGTCACCATGATGATGATGATGAGAGAGAGACATGCAAACTCTAAATATACAGCAGCAGGCGTCAGGGTCAGGATCGAACCCACGACCTCCTGTACACCAGGCGAGGTAGTTAACATCTCGCCACCTACTGCAAAAATTTAGCAGGACCCTCCTGAAAATTATTCTTCATTTTTATGCTATCGGCATACCCCATTTTCATTGATTTTACCCGAAATTAACTCTGTCACTTATGATTGCAAGTTGTTGCGAGTCAGTGACTGCTTTAGTGTTCAAATATAGTGCTGTATTTTTAGGATAGTGTGTTTATAATATCATTTTATGTAGATATCCACATTTATTTAATATTTTTCTTCTGCAGTTTTTATTGAAAATGCAATATTTGATATCTCAAAAACCTGATGTGATAGAAAAAAACTGATTTGGAATCAGCACCCCAAAATTACATTAAACCCGTTGGAATACCTTATGCCAGAAAAAGTGTGTTGTCCAGTGTAATCCATGCCTGAAGCCGTGGGTAGTGCAGTCACCCCAGCTGCCACTGGGGGTCTTGGCTGGGCTGTAGCAGGGCACTTGGAATATTTGAGATGAGTTGTGAAGTGCTTTGTGTTTGCTGATGCACCAAAGTGCTCGATTAATTGCAGTTCCTGAAATGTATCAGATTAGATAGATGCCACCGCAAATTCCTTAATGCGATAAAACTGCAAATCAACACCGCCCTGAACCGGCAGCCTTATGCCCACTCACAGGCCGGTGCTGCTTTTGTTTGTGGGCGCCACGGTGGCTATGAGATGTTAACTACCTCGCCTGGTATGCAGGAGGTCGTGGGTTCAATCTCGACCCTGACGCCTGTTGTATATTGAGAGTCGGCGTGTCTGCCTGTGTCTGTCTCTCTCTGGTGTACGTCACGATGGCTAGGAGATGTTAACTACCTCGCCTGGTATGCAGGAGGTCGTGGGTTCAATCCCGACCCTGACGCCTGTTGTATATTGAGAGTCGGCTTGTCTCCCTGTGTCTGTCTCTCTCTGGTCTACGTCACGGTGGCTAGGAGATGTTAACTACCTCGCCTGGTATACAGGAGGTCGTGGGTTCGATCCCGACCCTGATGCCTGCTGTATATTGAGAGTCGGCTTGTCTCCCTGTGTCTGTCTCTCTCTCGTGTATGTCACGGTGGCTAGGAGATGTTAACTACCTCGCCTGGTATGCAGGAGGTCGTGGATTTGATCCCGACCCTAACGCTTGCTGTATATTGAGAGTCGGCTTGTCTCCCTGTGTCTGTCTCTCTCTCGTGTATGTCACGGTGGCTAGGAGATGTTAACTACCTCGCCTGGTATACAGGAGGTCGTGGGTTCGATCCCGACCCTGACACCTGCTTTATACTGAGAGTCGGCTTGTCTCCCTGTGTCTGTCTCTCTCTCGTGTACGTCACGGTGGCTAGGAGATGTTAACTACCTCGCCTGGTATACAGGAGGTCGTGGGTTCGATCCCGACCCTGACACCTGCTTTATACTGAGAGTCGGCTTGTCTCCCTGTGTCTGTCTCTCTCTCGTGTACGTCACTGTGGCTAGGAGATGTTAACTACCTCGCCTGGTATACAGGAGGTCGTGGGTTCGATCCCGACCCTGATGCCTGCTGTATATTGAGAGTCGGCTTGTCTCCCTGTGTCTGTCTCTCTCTCGTGTATGTCACGGTGGCTAGGAGATGTTGACTACCTCGCCTGGTATGCAGGAGGTCGTGGATTTGATCCTGACCCTAACGCTTGCTGCTGTATATTTGGAGTTTGCGTGTCTCTATCTCCGTGGTCGCGTGGATTTTTCTCCGGGTCCCTCGGTTTTTCCCCTCCACATTAGTAACACGCGTTTAGAGTATTTGGCTGCTATAAGTTTCCAAATGATGAGCCACTTCGTTGAGCTATCATTTGTTGGCCAGGTCGCTTCTGAAAATAGTTGTATATCAGCTCAGTGGGCCTTACGTGGTAAAATAACAAAAATAGTTTCATCGTAAAAAATGGTGCTTGTGCCGCGTCGCGACAGCTGCCACTGGGGGAGCACCCCGCCGCACGGTGCCCGGGATGTTACCGCACGGGATGCACGGCGTAACCCGTAAGCAATGATGGTGACGATGGTGACCATGGTAACGGCGACGATGACAACGATAACGACAATAACGATGGTAACGATGACGACGATAACGATGCTAACGATGACGATGGTAACGATGACGACGATGACGATGGTAATGATGATGGTAATGATGACGATGACGATTGTAACGATGGTGACCATTGCGACGATGACAACGATAACGATGGTAACGATGACGACAATAACGATGGTGACGATGACGATGGTAATGATGGTGATGATGACGAGGACGATTGTAAACGATAACGACGATTGTGACTATGGCGACGATGGCGACGATGAGGACGATGACGATGGCGATGATGGTGACGATGATGGTTGCTGTTGCCCACCCTCTCCCCTCCCCCCGCACGTGCACCGCGCCTGGCGCAAACAGCCCTGGCCCAACCGCGTGGCCGTTGACCCGCGGCTGCTCGCGCAGCAGGCGGCCGCGGTCGCCTACCACCTCACCCTGCTGCAGGCGCAGCAGACGCGCGGCGCCGGCGGGGGCACGGCGGCGGCGGCGGCGTCGGCGTCAGCGGCGACGTCGGGCGCCACTCAGGCCGCCCCTCCCACGACGCCGTCCGCTGCCGCCCTGCCCTACCCTCCCTGGGGCCACCCGTCGTCGGCGGTGGCCGCGGCGGCCACGGCGGGCGTCCCGAGCCTTCCCTGGGCCCAGAATCCGCAGCAGCAGCAGCAAGTGCTGGGTGAGTGAGAGTGAGTCCGGCGCTCAGGAATCGATTCGCTCGCTCGCTCGTTCGCGGGCGGTCGCTTCGTCGCTCTGCTTACGGCGGCGATGGTTTACCCTCGACGCCAAAAGTCGCACGGCGGCTCGTCCCTCCCGTGTCGAAGACTCGGTCGACCACAACACAGTGCGCTCCCTCGCTCAGTCGTTCACCCACCCGCTCACTTGTTACCCACCCACCCGCTCGCGAAAAGAATTGCACGTGCGGCGGTCACATGACATGCACACGTGGCGAATGGGTGGCGGTGGTGTCTTCCTGCTGTACGTGAGCAGCAGCAGCAGCAGCAGCAGCAGAACACGTGTATGTGTTGTTAAATCTCTGGAGTTGGTTGTCTAGATAAGGCTGAGAGCATCACACGTGTAATGTGGTGGTCACGTGACATGCACGCGTGGCGTGTGGATGGCGGTAGTGCCTTGCTGCTGATGTATGTTGAACTTCGTTCGCGCCATACGTAGCCCGCCGTGCTGATCGCAGTGGCGCCATTGCTTAGCTTGACACCGAAATTCCGTGTTTTTTCCTGAACCCCCAGAAGACATCGGTTTGTAGCAGCCACAGCTCTTTGTGTGCTGATATTTCCGCCGCGTCGTTTGTTGCCCGTGACGATCTGACGCCCGTGCCCCTGACTGGACATGTGTGAAAAAATGGGAGGTTTATAGCTCAACGGATTCCTCCAGGATAAATAAAGATTCTGATTAATTTCCAGCCTGCGCCCTACGCATTATCCCTTTCTAGACGGCGTTTTTTGTCAACGCGTGGCGGGGATGAGAGCGACGAACCCGGTGGCCCGAGTTCGATTCCCGCTCACGGCCAACACCGGCGACGATTATCTGAACCCGTCCTGGTCCTGGGCCTCCCCTAGGTCGACTCAGCCTCAAATGAGTACCTGGTGCGGTGTGTAAATATCGCCACTGGGGAGAGAAAGGTCGGTCGGGCGTGGTGCTGGCCACCCACCGTCTCGTGTACCGTGCCGGCCTTCATAGGTGCTCGCTAACAGCACTTGCCCCTACAGTCTGTTAAGGCTACACGGGGGATCTTTGTCTTTGGGGAGCAGTGACGCAGCAGTTAGCGCAACGCCTGGCGGGGAAGAGCGATGGACTTGAGTTCCATCTCAGGGCGTCGATACCGCCCCGGCGAACCTTCAAAGTTGGCGTTTGACAAAGCAGACGGTCGTACTCAAATAGGAGCATTCGTAAGCGCAAGGTTTGCAATTTAAATCCAACCGGTCGCCAATGTGCCGAGGTGAGATATGTGGCAAAGTCGGTCTGAACTAAATCTGCGAAACAGATAAGCGGAGTGTGTTGCGTGTGCGTGAGTACGTGTGGATTTCTGTGTATTTGGGGCTGAGTGTCTGTGTGTGTGCGGTAGTGCAGCAGGTTAGTGCTATGCTGCGCTACGAACCTGGCCACCCGGGTTCGATTCCCGCTCACGGCAAACACCGGTGACGATTATCTGAACCGGTCCTGGGCCTCCCCTAGGTCGACTCGGCCTAAAATGAGTACCTAGTGCGGTGTGTAGTAAACATCGCCACTGGGGAGACAAAGGCGGCCGGGTGTGGTGCTGGCCACCCACTCCCTCGTGTGCCACTGTGCTGGCCTTCATAGGTGCTCGCTAACGCACTTGCCCCTACGGCCTGTTGAAGGCTACGCGGGGGATGTTTGTCATTGCAAGTCATCATTTACTTGACCGCGATGTCATATTTATTCTAGGATTTACTATTTTTCCCAGGTCACGTGCCTTCTCAAACAAATTCGCTTTTAATTAAGACCCCGACGGACGCATCCGATCGCCCTTGATGGACGATTCCCAATTCATTCATTATTCACGACTGGAAAGCCCCCCGCGGCACTGCCCCAGAAAGATCCCCGCGCCACGCCGCGTGAACGTCGCCAGCTTCGAGCGTGCGTTTCATTCCCTCCTTCCACCCCCCACGTAATTTACCGCACGGCACGGACGGCATGACGGTGAGCGGCGGACGCTGCCCCGGCGGGGTCGGTGGGCAGCTCGGCGCGTGCCGCGTGAAGGAGCGCGCCGGGGATTGGCTAACGAGGGCACGTGCGGCCGAGCGGCGAGGGTTGGCGGGTCGAGGAAGTGTCGCACACCCTGGCTCATCGCAGAGGTCGCAAACGGGTTTTGATTCTTTACCCGTACCCGGCCGCACCAGGGTCGCAAACGGGTTTTGATTCAGTTTAACACGCGGCAGGCTTTCGCGACCAATATTATTCATAATCAACGTTTTAGGGTTTAGATCGCGTTATTTATAAATGTGTCGTAACCCTCCACCACCCGACACGGCCAATCAGTAAAAAAGTGTCACGTTGACAAAAGACAAATAGTTCACTGCTTTAGCCCACCGGTGTGTTGATGCGCGAAACCACAACATTTACAATGTTTGAGTAGTACGACGTTTCGCTGGTAATTGCATCCAGCATCATCGGGCAATTCGCCAGAATGGTGAGGCTCTACTCTGTCTCCCGTTCTTATATAGAGCAGCAGCAGCAGCAGGGTGACGTCATCATTGATTCCTTACCCATATCCGTACCCGGCCGCACCAGGGTCGCAAACGGGTACCCGTACTCGGCCGTACCCGTACCCGTACCCTACCCGTACCCAGCCGGGTACGGGTAGGGTACGGGTATCGGGTACCTGATTGCGACCTCTGGGATGAAGCCATGTTGCAGGCGCGGGTGGGTTGATTCTAGGAACTTGAATTGTGAGAAGAGACAAGACGTTGGGAAATGAGTGACAAACGGTGACTCACCAGTGACTCACGGCCTACCCGTACCCGGCCGCACCAGGGTCGCAAACGGGTGCCGGGTACGGGTAGCCGGGTATCGGGTAGAGTACGGGTATCGAGTACCCGGTTGCGACCTCTGGCTCGTCGTCAGAATGCGGGGCGGCAAACGGGGGGATAGAGCTGTCGTGTGTCCCGCCCCCCCCCCCCGTGCAAGCGTAGGGGTCGTCTCGGGGTGACTTGGTTTCCTCCCCAGCGTGCGTGCAAGCTGCTCGTCGTTCGGCTGACAACATCTTCGTATGTTGGGGACCGCCAGAGCTCGGGGCAGTCGTTGGCTGCCTTCTCGCGAGCGAATATCGTGCGGTGGCGGCTGACATGATTTATTTGAGTATTGAATGTCCTCTCTGGCAATGGCACGAGTGAGAATTGTTGCAGGGCTGCAACCTTTTAATATTTTTTTTATTTGACTCACTCTGTCTGTTGTATCCTCAAATCTTGCAACTCAATTTTGACCCACTTCCCAATGTGGTATCGACTGCAAACTTGGTATACTTATGTCATACTGATGACAATACTATATTCTATCATAAAAAAATAACAAAAATATATATTTCTAGACATTATTTTTTACATGTCATTCGGTCCTTTCAGACGCTGTCTCCTCGACAGACCTGTTCTTCGCCTGAAGACGGCTGCTTGCGTTGTGGCCGAAACGTCGTGAGAATTGTATTTCATTATGTTTTATTTTTATTATTTTATTATTTCCCTTCTACGTGACTTTACCGAAAGAACCAAGAAGATGGATCTGATACTCTTTGACTCTGGGGAGTGCTGATTGTTGTTGGCCGCTTGGCGTTGTTTGGGCCTAGTGCTAGCAGCCCCCCCCCCCCCCCCGTGCGTCTTATTCTTGTCTTCCTCTTACTCCCTCTTTTGAACTACGGCCGGCGCTTGAGTCGGTTTAGGAAGTGAAAAGTTTGTACATTTTAAGCGCTTAAATTAACTGCAGGGGTCCCGCCTAGCGGGCAATATTGGTGTGCACCGGGGTTTCCATTTGTGGGAGCCGCGGGGGGGGGGGGGGCAGGGGGGGGTGATGGTGGTGACGGGGGGGGGCAGGGGGGGGGTGATGGTGGTGACGGGGGGGGGGGGCAGGGGGGGGTGGTGATGGTGGTGACGGGGGGGGGGCAGGGGGGGGGGTGATGGTGGTGACGGGGGGGGGGGGGGGGCAGGGGGGGGTGGTGATGGTGGTGACGGGGGGGGGGGGGCAGGGGGGGGGGGTGATGGTGGTGACGGGGGGGGGGGGGCAGGGGGGGGGGTGATGGTGGTGACGGGGGGGGGGGGGCAGGGGGGGGTTGTGATGGTGGTGACGGGGGGGGGGGCAGGGGGGGGTGGTGATGGTGGTGACGGGGGGGGGGGCAGGGGAGGGGGGGTGATGGTGGTGACGGGGGGGGGGGGCAGGGGGGGGTGGTGATGGTGGTGACGGGGGGGGGGGGCAGGGGGGGGGGTGATGGTGGTGACGGGGGGGGGGGGGGCAGGGGGGGGGGGTGATGGTGGTGACGGGGGGGGTGGTGATGGTGGTGACGGGGGGAGGATGGGGTCATCGTCGTTATCTGCTTTCTTCGCCGTCGTCGCGTGCCGGCTGCCGATTTGTAATTTTCGAGGGCTCCTTATCGCCCTCCCGCTCGTTCTGCGAGAGCAGCGCAAATTTGTTTTTTTGGGGGGCCGGCGGTGGCGGGGGGGGGTGTGTAAAGTGTTTGTTTTAAATAAAAAATAAATAGAAAGGCAGCACGGCGATTGAATTAAACGCTCGCGCGCCGCGGTGCGCAGGGCTGGAATTCGTATTAATCCGTCGAATTAAAGAGCTCGGTGCTGTTTAAAATAAAAAAAACAACAACTGTGATTTACTATCAATTTGCTTTCACGGGCAGGCAGCCTCGCAGAGTCCGCATTTTTATTCATCGCCCCGATTACAATTTTTTTTGCCAGCGCGTCTTGAGCAAACCCAGAGGAGTAGCGATTTGATTTGAATTTTCTGTATTTATTATAAAAAAAAAAATCTATTTTAAACGCGTCGTTGAGGTCAGTTGCGCTGCAGGCAGGCGGGCGGGCGAGTGGGGGGGGGGGGGGGGGCGAGCGAGCAGGGGGGTGAGCAGGCGGGCGAGCAGGCGGGGCGAGTGGGGGGGGGGTGAGCGAGGGGGGGGGGGCGAGGGGGGGGGGGAGCGAGCAGGCGGACGAGCGGGAGAGCGGGGGGGGCGAGAGCAGGGGGGGGCGGGAGAGCGGGGGGGGGGCGAGCGGGCGGGCGGGCGAGCGGGCGAGCGCGATCGAATCTTTGCCGCTCTTCCAAACAAACAATCGGAGCTCCTCCGCACAGGCCGGATGTCTCGGGGGAGGAGGTGGTGGCGGGAAGGGTGTACCCCCCCACACCCCCCACCACACCCCCCCACACCCCCCCACCCCCCCCACACCCGCCGTGTAGCCTGTAACGGGCTGTTGGGGCGAGCGCCGTTTAGCGAGTGGCAGCGCCTGTGAATGGCCGACGAGCTGGTGGTGTGGCCGACGAGCTGGTGGTGTGGCCAGCACCACGCCCGGCCGCCTTTGTCTCCCCCAGCGTGCGATGTTTACACGCGGCACCAGGTGTACTCAGTTGAGGCTGAGTCGTCGAGCTTTTGTTGCTGGAAGGTCGCCGGTTCGATTCCATTTCCCGGCACGGCAGATGAACCAAAGGTGGAGGCTGTAAGTTTATAAACCCCCCCCCCACCACTGCCCCCCACAAATGATACCCACTGCTGCGTCTGTCCACACAGCGGTGTGTAAGCGGCGGGCAGGCCCAGCGTTGGTCACGTGGGCTGCTCGCACGAAAACTAAACTATTTAAATTTTTGACGACGATGATGATGATGACGATGATGACGACGACGACGATGACGACGATGATGACGATGATGATGACGATGATGATGATGACGATGATGACGACGACGATGATGATGACGACGACGATGATGACGATGATGACGATGATGATGATGACGATGATGATGACGATGATGATGATGACGATGATGATGACGACGACGATGACGACGATGATGATGATGACGATGATGATGACGACGACGATGATGACAATGATGATGATGATGATAACGATGATGACGACGATGATGATGACGACGACGATGACGACGATGATGATGACGACGACGATGATGACGATGATGATGATGATGACGACGATGACGATGATGATGACGATGACGACGATGATGACGACGACGACGATGATGACGATGATGATGATGACGACGACGATGACGATGATGATGACGATGACGACGATGATGACGACGACGACGCCGGCTCGTGACCGACGGCTTTCCGTCGGCCGTCGCCGCGCCGTCAACACGTGGGGACAACTTCAATTTGGCCACGCTGATTTGCGTTTCCCACCCCCCCGCCCGCCTCCGCCCGGGGAGAGATGGAGCGTGGCTCTTGAATAATAAATTATTTCGATTAAACTTAACGAGCTCTTCCGGTTTGATTGGAACGCCGTGGGCCAGCGGCGAGGTGCCAAGCTCACCGCGCGGAGGTCACCGGCTCTATTCAGTTGGGGGGGGGTGGGGAGGGGCCCCCCACTTTACCACCCCCCCTCCCTCACCCGTCTCGCCACTCGTCCACCCGGCCGTGTAAATAGGCACGATGGCGCGCGGGTGGGCGGTCGGTCGGTCGATCGATCGATCGGCCCGGTTTGCGTTGTGGTGGGGTCAGTCCCCTCGCTACATGAACGTACAAATTCCTCTTCTTCAAATTCCTTCTAGAGCTCCTCTCGCTACACCCTTGGGTTGGACCCACCCACCCCCCTCCCCCCCCCCGCCCACCGCTCTCTCGGACTTAAAAAAATTCTTAACTCTGGCATCTCTCACACTTCAGTAAAAAAAACATTTTCTTGCTGTGGTTGTCACACCTGATGACGATTGCCTGCGTTGCAATCGAAATGTCGTGATTTAATTTTTTTTTTATTTTGAATTTTTTCACCTACGTGACTTTACCGAAAGAACCAAAGAGTATGGATTCCTACAGTCACGAAAGCTTCAAATCAAGATCAGCACCCTCTCTGTGGAGAGGGACCCTCTGTAGCTCCCGCTAGCGGAGGTCTCTTACGCCAGCAGTGTGTGAGCGAGCTGTTAGCAGGGCTGTTGTGACCTCTATCCTAAATCTGTACGTTGGGGAGATGGTAGCTACCTCGCCTGGTACACAGGAGGTCGTGGGTTCGATCCCGACGCTGACGCCTGCTGTATAATTGGAGTCTGCGTGTCTCTCTCTCTCATCATCATCACGGTGGCTAGGAGATGTTAACTCCCTCACCTGGTATGCAGGAGGTCGTGGGTTTGATCCCGACCCTGACGCCTGCTGTATATTTGGAGTTTGCGTGTCTCTCTCTCTCATCATCACGGTGGCTAGGAGATGTTAACTACCTCGCCTGGTATGCAGGAGGTCGTGGGTTCGATCCCGACCCTGACGCTTGCTGCTGTATATTTTTGCGTGTCTCTCTCCCCGTGGTCGCGTGGATTTTATCTCCGGCTCCTCTGGCGTTTCCTCCACATTTCGAATCAACGTCACCCGTTTAGAGTATTTGGCTGCTGTAAATGTCATTTTTGTTGATCTATCATTAGTGATCGCCACGCTCGCTTCTGAAAGAAAGCTGCTTCGTAGCTCAGTGCGCCTTACCTAGTACGATAAAAAAATAAAAAATAATTTGTGTTTTTTTTCACGAAGCGATTTGTCATTGTAACGTTCTGACCCCGTAACCCCCGCTGGGCATTTGTGAGAAAGAGCTTGATGGCTCACCGGGTTTCTCCTGCGGGATACATTAATATTGTCATTCTCAAGTCTGTCACACAGCGTGGGGGGTGGTGTTGTGGGGGGGGGGTGTGTCAGTGAGGGTGGGGCGGTGTGATGGGAGGGGTGCAGGGGATGAGATAGGCTGACGTTTATTTACTTCTAAGTCGAGAATTCTAATAGGAAAACATGATTCATGTCGTTTGTCCTAATTGGTTTTGGGATTCCTGCGAGGGTGGCAATTGTAATAAGAATAATAACGCTGCTGCTGTTGCTACTGATGCTGCTACTGCTGCTACTGCTGCTGCTGCTGTTGCTGCTGATGCTGCTGCTACTGCTGCTACTGTTGCTTCTGCTGCTGCTGATGCTGCTGCTGCTGTTGCTACTGCTGCTGATGCTGCTGCTACTGCTGCTACTGTTGCTTCTGCTGCTGCTGCTACTGCTGCTGCTGTAGTAATCTCGTCTCGTCAGGGCCCCCCTATGTTGGCTCTGAATTTTCGTCCCATTGGGGGCCCCCCAACCTTGACTCTGAATTTTTGTCCCGTTGGGGCCCCCCCTCTCCAAACGCCAATTTGTATCGCGCGCTGTTGTATCGTGCTCACGTTGCCCCCCCCCCCCCCCCCCGCCCCGCCGCTCCTTCCCAGGAAACTCTGGCGGATCGGTGACTCCAGATCTGGATCTTCATGATAAACAGGTTCGCCCGTGCACCTCTGCGGCTTCGTACTCCAAACAGCTTCCGCTTTTTAAATCCTTTATATTAAGTTCACTCGCTTGCTTGCTTGCGCGCTTACGACCGTGCAAATCTTTCGGTCGTTTTTTAACCCACTTCCCGTGATCCAATCGAGCTGACATTTTGCACACAGACTCGTTGTGCGTGACAGTTTCTTTTCGTGAAAATTCTTTTTAAATTTTTTTACACTTTTTAGGTAAAAAAAAATTATTATATTTAATTACCAATTGCTTAATGGTGGCAGGCAATCATCTGACCCATACGTGGCAGCCATCTCAAGCCAGAGGACGAGAGGACTCTAGCCGCCCGTTTCAAAGACCAATGTGGGCTGGGTTGTGGCCCATTGAACACGCATATAAAGGATTTATTGTGAAAAATTTTGTTTTTACGGGTTAATTTTTTTCCCACCGTCACAAACCGTGCCGTGCCAGGCCCTGACCAGGCCAGGCCCTTGCCCAGCCAGCCCGGCACGCGGTGACGCCTCTCGCTCGCCACGTAGCGACTGTCCTCACGCGCGCGGTGAACGTATCGTTCGCCCCACCCGTGACCCTGCTTGACCCCCCCGAGCCAGATTCAGACGTCATCGCGGTTTGGGTCGGCAACGGCAATTTAACCGGTGAGACAAAACCACCGGTACGGGCTCCCGATGCCGGGTGGCCACGTCGATGATCGCGCGACCGCGACAAACCGTCGATAAAAATAATGATCTCTCCATTCCTTCCCGCTCCCCCCCGCCGCCCGCTTTCACCCACACACCCACGCGCCGCCCGTGCCGCCGCCGGCACAGCTGAAGCTGACGGTAGCAGCAGGTGAATCTGGCGCTGGCTGCGGTGGCTCCGGGCGCCACCGGCAAGGAGCCCAGAAGCGCATGCAGCAAGCGGACTTCTCGCCGGGTGCCCGACGCCACCCGGTTCCTCGGTCCGGACGCTCAGCAGCACCAGCAGCAGCACCAGCAGCACGCGTACTTCCGCAGCCTCATGCCTGCCTCCACGCACAGCGCGCAGCAGCTGTTCCTGCAACAGCATCACCAGCAGCAGCAGCAGCAGCAGCTGGCGCGAGGGCACCAGCAGCAGCAGCAGCAGCAGCCGCAGCATGGAATCTTTCCCTCCGCGTTCTTCGGCTCGGAGGCCGTGCACGGCATGGCTCCCGCCGACGGCCTCAAGCTTCCGCCACTCGCGCCGCAGCTGTTCCAGCAGCAGCAGCAGCTGGAGCAGCACACGGCAGCCGAATTGCAGCAGCAGCAGCAGCAGCAGCAGCACAAGTCGTTGACGGCGCTGGGCCTGCTGCCGCTGGGCTCGGAGGCGGTCGGCCGCGTGTCGCTGGGCCGCGTGGCGCCGCCGGCCGCCTCGTCGGGGTGGCCCGAGCTGTACGGGGTCGGGGGGGGGCGCCGCCGTGGCCTCCCCACAGCCCCCGCAGCAGCAGCAGCAGCAGCAGCAGCAGCAGCAGCAGGCGGCGGGCGCGTCGCTGGGGCACGTCGGCATGGACGGTAGGCGTGGTGATGCACAACGCTCACCGCCGCGTGAGGATGAGCGCGCGGCAAGAGTTGCCGATGTCCCCGCGGCTTCCATTGACAAAAGTTTGCGTGCCGTCTCTCCCTCTCCCTCTCTCCCGTCTCTCGCGCACGCTCGCCCTGCCACACACACGCTCGCCGCACCACACACACACGTACACACGCACACACCACGCTCGCTCCCACCACACACACACGCTCGCCGAACCACACACACACACGCTCGCCACACCACACACACACGCTCGCCGAACCATACACTCACACGCTCGCCACACCACACACTCACACGCTCGCCACACCACACACATGCTCGCTACACACACGCTCGCCCTGCCACACACACGCACACACACGCTCGCCACACCACACACACACGCTCGCCGAACCATACACTCACACGCTCGCCACACCACACACTCACACGCTCGCCACACCACAATGCTCGCTACACACACGCTCGCCCTGCCACACACCGCACACACACTAGCTCACCGCACCACACACACACACGCTCGCCCCGCCACACACACGCAGAGATGACCCTGGCGGAACGACGTCAGCTGATGCAGCAGCAGCAGCAGCAGCAGCAGCTGCGGCTGCAGGAGCACCTGTCGATGGGCGGCGGTCACGCTCAGCGGTTGGCGGCCCTCGGCCAGGGGTCGCCCTTCACCGCCAACGGCCTCCCGGGGCCCCCCTCGCCGTACTCGCGCAAGTGCGTGGCCAAGACCCCCACTCATCCCACCCACCCACCCAACCCACCCACCCAACCCACCCACCCCACCCAACCCACCCACCCCACCCTCCCACCCAACCCACCCCACCCACCCCCACCCCCCCCACCCACCCACCCACCCCACCCATCCCACCCTCACCCACTCACCCACCCACCCCACCCCACCCAGCCTACCCCCACCCACCCCACCCACCCACCCACCCATCCTACCCCCACCCACCCCACCCACCCCCCACCCATCCTACCCCCACCACCCACCCACCCACCCACCCATCTACCACCACCCACCCCACCCACCCACCCCCCATCTACCCCCACCCCCCCCAACCACCCACCCACCCTACCCCCACCCACCCCCCACCCACCCACCCACCCACCCACCCTACCCCCACCCACACCCCACCAACCACCCACCCTACCCCCACCCACCCCCACCCACCCACCCACCCTACCCCCACCCACCCACCACCACCCACCCACCCTACCCCCACCCACCCCCCACCCACCCACCCACCCACCCTACCCCCACCCACCCACCCACCCACCCTACCCCCCACCCACCCACCCACCCTACCCGACCCACCCACCCACCCTAACCCCACCCACCCACCCTACCCCCACCCACCCACCCTACCCCCACCCACCCACCCACCCTACCCCCACCCACCCACCCTACCCCCACCCACCCACCCTACCCTACCCCCACCCCACCCACCCACCCATCCTACCCCCACCCACCCACCCACCCTACCCCCACCCACCCACCTACCCCCACCCACCCCACCCACACCCACATCCCACCCACCCCACCCACTCACCCACCCACCCCACCCCCACCCCACCCACTCACCCACCCCACCCCACTCACCCACCCACCCCACCCCACCCACCCACCCCACTCACCCTACCCACCCCACCCACCCCCCCCCACCACCACCCACCCACCCTACCCCCCACCACCACCTCCTGAACGTCCGACCTGATGCGTGTCTGGGGGGGGCGTCGGGTGAAAGTGGTGGGCGCTCCGAGGCCTGCGGATCAGAGGGTCGCCGCTTGCGTTCGCCGCCTCCCCGGCGTGGAAGTAGAAACGGTGGGGGGGGGTGGGGGGGAGACGGATTGCGTTGAACCCACACCCCAACACCCCCACCACCTCTTTGCGCCCCGAGACTTATCGGCGGGTCGCTCTGACGGCAGGGGCAGCTCCCCCCGCGCCGCCTCTCGGGACGCGCACGTGCGTCGAGCTGCTTTGTGACGCCGTCCACGCGCCCAGCAGCCGCGCCCGCCCGCCCCAAGGCGACTGGCCGACGCGGAAGGGGAAGGCCGAGGCCGACCGCGAAGGCCTTGCGCCGGGCGCGCCACCGGACCCTGACCCTCTGCCCTGTGCCGCCCCCCCCCCCCCAGCTTCTCCGGGCTGCCCCTGTCCGCCGCTCAGCGGCTGCCCAAGCTGGGCGAGATGCGCGCGGAGCCCTCGCTGGTGCCGCAGTCGCGCCTGCTGCAGTACAAGCAGGCGTGCGCGGCGCAGCGCGCCGTCTCGCCGCACCCCTTCGGCAACTCGGCCGCCGCCGGCGCCGGCGCCGCCGACGACGCCGCGGCCCAGCCGGGCCGAACGAACTTCCCCGGGCGCGGCCCCGACGCCCGGAGCAGCGCCGAGTACGCGCCGTCGCCCTTCTACGCGCTGCCCTCGAGGCCGACGCTGGCGCACTTTGCGCCGGGCGTGTACCCTCACGGCGCCGGCGGAGGTGGAGTGCCGAACCTGCCCCCGGCCGGTTTCGGCGGCCTGCACCATCACCACCAGCAGCAGCAGCAGCAGCCGTCGCCGCCGTCGCCGGCGATGGTGGGCGCGAGCGACGCCGACCTGGAACGGCCCGGGGGCCCGGCGGCGCAGATCTACAACGGGTTCTCGCACGGGCTGCTGCTGGGAGCGGCGCTCAGCCCCAGGAAGGAGGGCGGTGGTGCAGGCGCCGGCGGTGGCGGCGCCGATCCGATGGCCGGCGCCGCGACCGCCCAGTCGTCGCCGTCCTCCGTCGTTCAGTCGTACGCCGCCGCCGGCGTGAACGGGCGCGCGGCGGTGCCGTCGCCCGGCGGGGAGTTTGACGGCTCGGGTTGGCCTCCCTCGGCTATGACGAGCGCCCAGCACCACCACCAGCAGCACCATCACCAGCACCATTACCAGCAGCAGCAGCAACAGCAGCAGCAGCAGCAGCAGCAGCGCTACGGCTTGCGCAGCGCCAGCGGCGATGCCGTTCACTTCCCCAGCCACTACGGCCCTCCGGCCTCCGTGCTGTGTCTGCCGTCGGGCGCCGAAACGTCGGACCCCCTGCTCAGGCCTGGGCCGTCCCAGAAGCCGGGGCTCAGTGTGGAGATGGAGCAGCACCAGCAGCAGCAGCACCAGCAGCAGCAGCAGCAGCAGCTTCACCAGCACCATCAGCTTCTGCTTCCGCACCACCTCCACCCGCTCTCAACGTCCACGCACCCCGATCACGTGAGTGCCTTGTAGCCCATCGGATTCCTCCCGGTACGGACAAACACTCGGATTCAGAAGCCTAGGGGGGGGGTGGGGTGGCGACGCGTCCCAGTGGCGAGCGGCGTTGGGCCGCACGCAGCAGAGGCTCGCGCTTTGAATCCGATGGGGCACCACCCTTTGTCACCGCTGCTGTGCGTGCCAGGCGCACGGTTGTATTACGTTCAGTACGAAAGAAGTTCAGCGTACCGTACACACGTGCGTGCGTGCGTGCAGCGGACGTACCGCCGGTGAGCTACGGTTGGCTCATGTACGGTGCGAAATAATTTTTTCTTGTCAAGGCGCTCTTCTCCTCCCACCCAGCTTCAAATACGCTGCCAAGCTGAGCAGTCTTCTTGGTTCTTTCGGTAAAGTCACGTAGAATGGAAACAATAAAAATAATAAAATTAAACATAATAAAATAATTCTCACGACGTTTATTATGTTTTATTTTATTATTTTTATTGTTTCCATTCTACGTGACTTTACCGAATAAACCAAGAAGATGAATCCCTGCAGTCACGAAAGCTTTAAATCGAAATTTAAGCTTAGCAGTGTTGATTGGAGCGCTGTCTTTCAGACAGCTCTGTTCTTCACCTGAGGACTGCTGCTTGTGTTGTGGCCGAAACGTCGTGAGAATTTGATTTTATTATGTTGTATTTTTATTATTGTATTATTTCCCTTCTACGTGACTTTACGGAAAGAATCAAGAAGGTGTGAAAGAAGTTTAGGCGCTCGCACGCACGCGCCGGACGCGAAGAGAAACCCCCTTCCCCCCCCCCCGTGGCGTCGTTCGAAATGGTGTGTGTGTGTGTCCGGGGGATGGAAACCTGAGCAATGCACCTCTCCGAACGATTCTAGATTTGAAGCTTTCGTGACTGCAAGGATTCATATTCTTAGGTTTTTTCGGTAAAGTCACGTAGGTAAAAAATGTAAATTAATAAAAGTAAAATAAAATAAAAATCACGACGTTTGTTATGCAGTCTATTCTTAGTCTTAAGCCTCACCTTACCATATTAATAACAAGTGTGCCGTACTTGGCCCTTCCCCTCTCCAACCATTATATATACGGAGTGGTAGCTCTTGTAATCTCTCATTTACTTGATACAGCTGTCGTGGCTGTGACGGTTCCACCTGAAGACAGAAGCTTGTGTTGCCTCCGAAACGTCGTGATTTTATTTTACTTTTATTAATTTTAATTTTTTACCTACATGACTTTACCGAAAAAACCTAAGAATGTCTCCGAACGATGTTGGCGTACATCCCTGAGCGCACAAGTATCGTCGCCATGATTACCGTCGTTGCTGCTGTTGTTCCGTGATGGTCGGCGTCATCGCGCGTGGCGGCCGTTTGTCGTCTGGGAGTCGCCGATGTTGCCGGCACGGCGCTGATTGGCCAGCGATTAGTTTCGTTTGTTAATTATTCTCGGAACGCCGGGACCACCAATCCCCCCCCCACCCCGCCCCGGTCGTGTGACCGACGGGCAGGCAAACCAAGAGAACGTCGCTCTTCAAACCCCACGTGTACCCTCCCCTTGGCGCCAGTAGGCCTTCATCCAGCAGTAGATTCACATTATGTTTGGCGACTGTTTTGCACGCGGGTCCTGACAAGCGTTTTTTGGGTATTTTTTTCTTGCGGCATGTGACGGGGAGGGCGCGGGGGGGAGGGGCGGGGGGGGGTAGTGCAATGATTCCTACGTTGATTCCATATTAGTGCTTTGCACAGTGACGCTGGCACGCTAAAGACTAAAATATTGTTTTCGTGGTGTAAGGCCCCGCTGAGCTACGTAGCTCTTTTTCAGCAGCGACCACCCTGTCCATCGCACCTCTGATCGCTATGACGACGACGACGACAACGACGACGACGTTTATGTTCTGTAATCCGCGCGTTCCTCTCTCCGTCTCGCTACTAAGTGTTTTTTCCTTTCCAACCTCACCGCCGCCGCCGCGCCGATTTCAATTGGGAGCGAGCGCGTCGGGGCGGCGGCGGTGGTGGTGGGTGGGGGTCTTTTTCATTTGCATGGCGCTCGAACGGCTACGCCGGAGCCTCCAACGCACGTCCCTCGACGGCAGATTCCAATTGCTGCACCGGTGACCTTGCCCGCCCCCCTCCACCCAGAGACGAAGAAGGGGGGGGGGCAGGGGGGGGGGGGGACCCTGGCAGCGCCGCACGGATAGATGGGGTCACGGCCCCCTCTGTTCCCGGGGCGTGCACGCACGCAGCAGAATGTGAATAGCGGTGGGCTGGACGATGGGCGGGGGAGCCGACGCGTGTTCGGTGGTTCTGGGGGGTCTCGTTTCGGCGAAGGCCGTTTGGCCGCCGTGCGGGTACAAGGGTCTCGGCGTCAATCTGTGGGTCTCCACGTGAGTCCGTAGGTCAATGTGCGAGTCTGTGGGTTTATCTTCTTGGTTCTTTCGGTAAAGTCAGGTAGAAGGGAAATAATAAAATTATAAAAATAACATTATTCTCACGACGTTTCATTCAGACGCTGTCTTTCCGACAGACCTGTTCTTCACCTGAGGACGGCTGCTTGCGTTGTGGCCGAAACGTCGTGAGAATTGTATTTTATTATGTTTTATTTTTTCTATTTTATTATTTCCCTTTTAACGAAAGAACCAAGAAGATGAATCCCTGCAGTCACGAAAGCTTTAAATCGAAATCTGTGGGTTTATGTTGAGTGTGTGGGTCTCTCTGCGAGTATGTGGGTTTCTGGGCGAGACTTTGGGTTTTACTTTGGATCTCTGGGTTCCTCTGTGTTTGAAGCTATGGGTCTGTGTGAGCCTATGTGTCTCTCTGTGTGTGAATCTATGGGTCTTTGTGTTAATCTGTGGGTCTCTATGTGAATCTATGGGTCTCTGTGTGAATCTATGGGTCTCTGTGTGAGCCTATGGGTCTCTCTGTGTGTGAATCTATGGGTCTTTGTGTGAATCTGTGGGTCTCTATGTGAATCTATGGGTCTCTGTGTGAATCTATGGGTCTCTGTGTGAATCTATGGGTCTCTGTGTGCGAGTTTGTGTGGTGGCCCCGAGGGTTTGAGAGGCGAGCTGGCGCTGTAGAGCACCCGGATGCAATCCGGGTTCTCAAACCAAATCACCGACGACTCTGCATCGAGACACCGAGACTCGGAGAGACCCGTAGACTCACATGGAGACCCATAGACTCACACAGAGACCCATAGACTCACGCAGAGACCCATAGACTCGCGCAGAGACCCATAGACTCACACAGAGACCCGTAAACTCACATGGAGACCCGTAGACTCACACAGAGATCCATAGACTCACACAGAGACCCGTAGACTCACGCAGAGACCCATAGACTCACACAGAGACCCGTAGACTCGCACAGAGACCCATAGACTCACACAGAGACCCATAGACTCACGTAGAGACCCGTAGACTCACATTACGGCCCGCAGACTCGCAGAGGTATCCGTCGACTCGCACACAGGGTGAGAGGGTGGGAGGGAGCAGCGCGAGCGGGGAGGAGAGGGCCGCATGTTTTGGACCCGTCCCGCGCTCTCTCTCTCTCTCTGAGTAATTGAAATGACATTTGTGGAAGAGTTTGGGTCGACAGTGACGGCGCTGCCATTTGCTATTCAATTGCCTTGCGCGCGCGTGTTTGTGCGTGTGTGTGTTTGTGTGTGTGTGTGTTTGTGCGTGTGTGTGTTTGTGCGTGTGTGCGTGTGTGCGTGTGTTTGTGTGTGTGTGTGTTTGTGCGTGTGTGTGTGTGTGAGCGTGTGTGTGTTTGTGCGTGTGTGTGTTTGTGTGTGTTTGTGCGTGCGTGTGTTTGTGCGTGTGTTTGTGTGTGTGTGTGTTTGTGCGTGTGTGTGTTTGTGCGTGTGTGTGTTTGTGCGTGTGTTTGTGTGTGTGTGTTTGTGCGTGTGTTTGTGCATGTGTGTGTGCTTACGAGCATGTATTTGTGCGTGTGTGTCTTTGTGTGTTTGTGTGTGTTTGTGCGTGTGTGTGTTTGTCCGTGTGTGTGTTTGTGTGTGTGTGTGTGTGTTTGTGCGTGTGTCTGTTTGTGTGTGTGTGTTTGTGTGTGTGTGTTTGTGCGTGTGTGTGTTTGTGCGTGTTTGTGTGTGTTTGTGCGTGTGTGCATGCGAGCGTGTGTGTGTGTGTTTGTGCGTGTGTGCGTGTGTTTGTGCGCGCATGTGTTTGTGCGTGTATTTGTGTGTGTGTTTGTGCGTGTTTTTGTGTGCGTGTGTGTGTTTGTGTGTGTGTGTGTGTGTTTGTGCGTGTTTGTGTGTGTGTGTTTGTGCGTGTGTGTGTTTTGTGTGTGTGTGCGTGTGCGCGTGTTTGTGTGTGTGCGTGTGTTTGTGTGTGTGTGTTTGTGTGTGCGAGCGTGTATGCGCGTGTTCATGTGTGTGCGTGTTCGTGTGTGTTGCGTGCGAGTATCTTGACCGATGCGGGCAGAATTTAATGTGCTCTCGTGCTTGCCAGTCGCCGTGGCCCATCTATCTTTTGTCTTTCTTCTCTTCTCCGTCCACCGGCACAAGCGAGACCCGCGCCGGGCCCCACCGCCCTTGCCGCGCCGCTGACTTAGCGAGCGCGGTGAACGAGCGGGGTCGCGTGACGATGACCCGGCGACGCCGCGGGGGACCGGCTGGCGTCGCTCGCGCCGTGATCCAGCGCGTCGGTAGCCTCCCATCCGCTCCCCCCCCCCTCGCCTCCGGTCCTGTGGGGTCCTGTAGACTCGCGTAGAGACCCGCGCGATGCGACCGTGGACATGCGGTGGCAGCACGTAGGTGCCGCCGCGTGTCAAGGTGCTGCGCAGGTAGTGGGGGGTGCTGTGTGTGTCGTCGTCGTCGTTGTTGTTCATACACTAATCAAACGTCGCTCTCGCCACTGACCCCTGTGGCTCCCTCCCTCCCTCCCTCCCCCTTCCCTCCCACCCCCCCCTCCACCCACCCCTCTTCCCTCCTCTCGCTCCGGCGCTTCGCGGCGCCGTCGCCTCCCGGCTGCCGTGCGATTCCGCTCCGA